CCGTCGAACATAATTTCTCTGCGCGGCGGGAAACTTCGATACGGTCAGACCGAGTTAATCGAATCCTATATTACCGAGATAAAGGATAGAAATCAAATTTCACCCGTGAAAGAGAATTAATCCGTAATTAAGTACAAATATACGCGGAGCCCGACAGTAACTGCGGATAAATCACTTTTTGCGTCTCCCGATATTTGCTTCCAATGACGTTCGGTTCTAAATAACGCTGACAAGCAGAAAATCATGAATGATGTGGCTGTCACGATTAATCTGACGGTTCTTGAAATCCGTCAAATAACGACGAAAGGCGTACGAAAGCCACAAAAAAATCAAATCGAGAATTAACGTGGCTAGAGAAGGTGTTGCTATTCGATTCCATCCCGTCGAGTCTTTCGATTTTCCGATGGTCTTTGAAATGAACGCCAAGTAAAGATCGTTTCGTGTAAAACTAGGAGCGACAATTACGCGGGAACAACATCCTAACCGCGAGCCAGCGTAATTTCGTGCGGTGCATCGAAACTGCCGCGAAAAGTTAGCCGACGACCGACGAAGTAACGGAGCTGCGAGCGTATCGACTTTAAACACAGCAGGAGAGATGGTCGTAACGGGTCAGACACGCGGAACGAATGCACGACCACGTACGGGACGCATCCACTTCCAAGCGACCATGACCGATCTAATTCTCCTTGATCTTGCGAGGGCTCCGGAGAGCTGCTAGCCTTAAAACACGATCTAAGAATAGTATTAAGCTGTTGCACGGGACATAACCAGCCTCGCAAACGAGCGAACTTCCGCGCAATTTTATAATTAACACCGATCTGATTCCACTTTATAACACGAGACCCCGAGGAGTCCATTCAATAACGCTCGGAAGCTGAAAACTCGATCCGGGAATAGTATTATGCTGTTGCAGACGGAATTTTTTAAACTTTGCACCTTTTTTCATGCAAATTTAAATTGTACTTGAAAGAATTTTCATAGTAAAACGCGTGAACAGCACTAGGATATAATACAAATTTCTTTAACTACTTTGACCAATAAATACTACTTTTTAAACTATACATTATTTAATTAAATTTAATTTAAATATTTACAATTCAGAGAAGAGAAAAATCGTCTAGTTAGGGATTAAACCATTTTGTCTCTAACAACCTAATATATTTTTCTCGACGAACCTTAATTCCCTCGTATCTTGGTGAAAAAAGAAATTTCAGGCTTTAGAGAGTAGAATCCAGCTTCTTAGCGAGAAAGTTTTTTAGTACAATGTACTTTGCTGAAGTTTTATCAGATCGTCTCATCTGCTAAGAAAGTTACAAGTACAAAATTCCAGATTATTGAACTTATCGTTTCTGCAACAGACTAATATTTTCCTACGGATGGCTTTGCGATACGTCCGTGAATATTGGTAAAAACGGAGCCCTCGGATTGCCGAAGGTACCGAGAAATTTCTCTTGTGAAGCTCGTTAAATTTTGAACCGATCGTCTCGTTTATCGAAGAAGTTAACGAATTTTGGATCGAACTGAACCGTTCGAAACTTTCCTGAGGTATAAAAGGGTACTTTGCGTTTGGAGCGCTTTGTCTCGTTCTTCCTGTTAAGTTTTTAGAAATTCCGAGTAACCCCCGGCGTTTCGAATGTTTTTATCTCGCGGCTGAGTCCATCGAGGAATAAAAAAGATTCGAAATTCGGTCCTTTAAAGCGTAAGTTAGGCGGACGAAGATAACAGCTCGCTGGGACAAAGATAACCGCACCTGACGCAACGGGAGCACCCTAGAACCGTGTTTATAACGAACAACATTAACGTTCCGTTTGATTCACGGCGAATAGTCGAGGACGGAGGACGGAAGCGTCGGAAAATTTCGCGTCATTCTTCTCCCTCCGTGCCAGGGATGGGGACCCTGTGGCCTTATCGTTCTCGTTTGGAAACTATACGATCCCAAACGGTCTTTATTTCAACCAATTAAAATTTAAAGATCGTTTCTTTCAAAGCAGAATGTAAAAAAGTTAACAGCTCTTATCGACCTGCCTGGGTCTACGGTTGGCGTGTCTTGTTTGGTCCGTGGACGAACCACGAGCAAAAAAAATTATTCGCCCGTTCACGAATTCCTAAAAAGGACAGGAATTTCTATTTAGATAAGTATCTTTCGCGTGATTCCGATAAAATTGACTTTTAGAAGGTTCCCCACTCCTGCTTTGCACCGAGCATCGTGAAACGTTCGCTCCGACCAGCGCTCGGAACACTCGGCTAGCGTATATTTGGTGTGAAATAAACAAGATAAAAAATAAAAATAAGGGGGAAAAAATACGACCACGAGTAGAGATCGGCTCTCGTTGCGAAAGCCGTTGTGAAAAAGCGAAACGAGGTGACAACAAGAAAAAATTGTCGAAGGTAGGCCTTTAACGGACGCAATTCTTCCCGCCCCGTTGATTAATAAATAATAAATTCTGCGTATACTGCGTTACTGTAATATAATATGTGTTTTTTTGTGTGTGTTGCGTGGTAATACATAAACAGTGAATAACACATATATAAAATCATTAAAACGATAAAACAAAATAAAATAAATTATCCAATATATTAATTAATATACTTAATCATCTGCGTAATATATTAATATTCTGGTTATGTATATATATATTATGTATATATATTATTAAATTATCGGTATATGCGTGTTCGGTAAATAGCCTTAACTATGCAAAGTGCCCCTTTTTGCAAAAGAGAGAAGATCGACGGGTAATATCATTTGATCACAATATAGCGGTTTGGCTCTTTGAATAGCTAACGGACTCGACGTTATTTCTGTGTCGACGTGTACCCGGGCCGAGTACACGCGAGCACCGAGACGGTACTCGTATGTCGATCCACGCTTTTCTAGCTCGAAGCACACGTACTTACATCTGTGTTCGTCCGTCGGTCGTGTATATGCACGCACGCGATACATATACACGCGTATGCATGTATCTGTGTCCACTTGTAAACCTTTATCATTAACATACGTGTAAAGTAGTAAATATATATATATATATATATAAATTTCTTCGCGAAAATTAAACAAAGAAGAAAGAAGAACAAACAGTTTGCACCCCAACCAATTAAATATCAACGTGTAACGATGCGATGAAAATATCGTAACCAGCCCACTTGAATAAGAATTGACCGTACTTTAAAGATAAACTATATCTCCAACCAATGACGATTACTACAACGATAGATTATAATAAAGTATAATGTATATATAATAGTAATAATAATAATAATAATATGTATAGTACTACAAATCAAACCGATACAGTTAAATCCTTATCGTGTGTCCGCCTATGCACTTAAGTCCCGAATCGTGGAATGTCTCTCATGATTTCCACTAATCATCTGCTGCATATTGCGGTATCCGCGATTGTGTATAGTTTTTAAACGGTAAATATCATAGACTTTAGGTGTTCGAGTAACAAATAACGCGTTTTATAGTTCAGAGCTCATATTAGAACTGCAAAGCCGCCGCTTCGTACTATCTATCGAAAGGAAATGAATTAAACCTTTAGAAACGATGCATAGGACTAAAAAGATTTCGTTGTTAGTCGATTAATATTGCGTGTTGGCCGTACCTCCGGTACCGGAAGTACGCGAGGGTGTCGCGTCGATGCGTGTTTTCGTGTACTCCGCGTGTGTCTCTCTGTGTGTCTGTGTGTGTGTGTGCGTGTGTGTGTTGAATCGAACTCCTGTCCCTCTCGCTCTGTCCACTGTACGCATGTCCGTGTGTCCGATGTTCCCCTAAACTCCCGAACTCCCCTCACCCGTCGAGCAGAAAAGCCCGCGAAACTGGGCCTGCACGTGCGCGACCGTAATATTTGCCAGCGATATTCCCGTACGCCGAATGAACACACGATTACACTCTAATATGAAGTCCAACTATAAACTCTTTCAACAACTATACGACTCACCCTGCGTATCGAATGAATTACTTCCAGTAAATCCGATTTAATTAATAGTTAATTAACTAATCGATTAATTATATTTCTTTCCGGTCGCCGAGCGACGGCAGCAACTACGGGAGGAATTGGCACCACGTTTGCTCCCACTTTATGCACGCTCGTTTGTGCACGCGCCCGCGTATACGATCAACCGTATACAAGGCGTACGCGTGCACACGCGAGCATAATATGTAATTGCATTAAATCTCCCATAATTAATAATGCGCGTACTAGTGAACTCTTCCGAGTTAAAACTCTCTTTAGTATATATCGTCGATCGGCGCAGCGCTCGTTCACCCACGAAAAAAATAAAGCTGCCCGGTCTTTGGACAATGTTCGAAACAACGTTTCACGCGGCGTGGCACGTGTCGACGGGCGCGCGTGCGCGCTACTGTATCTCTATTTTTTTTTTTTTTTTAAATTAAGGGGGCGGATGCCGCGCTCCAATGCCGATTGGTCCCGCGAGTTCGTTTCTCCACGAGCGTAAAGCCGAGAAAAAGCGACCCGCGCCCAATCTTCGATTCGTCTCGGCTCCGCGCTCATTCTCGTATACGCCCGATCGGTCAGTGAGAGGGTAAACAACCAACAAACAACAATCAGAGATAAGGAACTTTTCGTCGTGTCGCGTCGATCGGTGAAAAAAAGATCGGTTCGAGCCGCGGTCACTGAGACGAATCGAACGCAATCGTGCCTCCGTGAGAAATCGAAATCAGTTCCCGTGGACGCGCGGCGGTCCCGTTCGTGGCCGATCTATCGCGCATGCGCGCCACGAGAACTCGCCTGCTGCCCCCCCATGGAGGAGCGCGCGCGCGCGCACCGACACGGCGCTCGGTTCCACTCGCTTACAACCCTTCCCCCTAGAACGTATCATGTGCTCTTTTCACTCTTTTTTTTTCCTCTTTTAATTACAAGCCCACTTCAATACGTCGCACGCTAAAAAATTGTACACACCAGTGTTACAACCCCCACCCCAAACCCACCCACCCCCCTCCCCGCTGTAAGAGAATCGTTTGTCGATCCCTTAAAGCGTAGAACCTATAAAAGATTTGGTGTTCGAGAAAGAAAAAAGCCGAAAGAGACCGGCCTTTTAGCGTGGCCGTGACACCAGGGCCGTATCGTGTGATCGAAATTTGCGACAATACCCCCCTGTCGACGCAGCCACCCGCGCTCTCAGTAAATGTATTTTTTTTTTTTCCTTTTTTTGTTGTCTTGTATGTATAATATATATATATTGTATATATTATTCATTGTTACTTTTTTTCTGATTTTCTTTGCTTTCGAGGCGCGTACGTAGGTGTAAATATATATATTTATATATGTATATGTATAAGATATATACAGACGCGTGCAGTTCGTTCCGCGTTTTAGGACAGCGTGTTCATGGTATCGTTAGTCATCGTGGAGAGCGCCAAGGTGCCCGTCATAAAATCGTTTAGATCGATCTTTCTTGCCTCGGGGTGTTTGAATTTAAAGTGCGTGCGCAGGTTGTCGCTACGTGTATACGTGGCACGACAGAGAGGACACTCAAACCTGCCGGGGAAGTGGACGTGGTAGTGGTTCCTGATGTGCGTCACGACCTTGCCGCACAGCTTGCACCTGTGAAGGTTGCAGCCGCCTGGCACCCGGTCAAAGGTCAGCCGCATGTGCCAGGCTTTTGAACCTGCAACATCAACACAAGACAAGTCACTTTCAACTGTTGGCCTCCCGACGCGACCTACGGCGACGAGCCGCCCGCGGCCCGGTCTGTGTCGACGGCGGCTCGATCGCTTCTTTCTCGCTCTCTTTTTTCTTTCCTCATGTACTCTCTCCCTCTCGTTCTCTCAGTCTCAGTTTCTCTATCTCTTTGCTTGCCCTCTCATATAGCCTTCTCCTCCTCCCCCGCCACTACGAAGAAAGCCTCTTCTTTAATACTCGACCGCTAAACGACAACGTTCGAAAATTACGATCTTTCGGTACTCGTTGGAAAAGCGAAATTCCATCAAATTATTTACAACTGTACAACTTTTCGTACGCCAGAGTGTACGCATCAAACTAACCCACATGGAGCTACTACGTTTACTTAACAACGATTATTTACATTAGTACGTTAGTAACCTCGCCTATTTCAACACACCTAAAGTACGTATGTCAACGAGAGCGGTCCGTGGGAGTTTCGGAATGAATGGTAACGATCTGGGTCAAATCCAGAATCGAGTTCTGGACAATAACAACGAGCAAACAATTCTAATTTAAAAGTAAGGTCGTCGTGTTTGCGAAAAATGAAGAATATAGTACACAAGCAAGAGGATTCGAATTTTTTCATTTTTGATACTATCCAAGGCTATAGTCGGAGAATATTCAGTGACCTTCCCCTCCAATATACATCCATCTCATTAAAATCGTCAAGGTCGTTAATACGGTAAGTAATTACCGAGAATGTTACATAACATCCACCTTTACAAATCACCTTTACATCCCAATGAGTCGCGAGACAATTATTTAATCGACGCATAATGAGAAAATTGTAAGAAACACGCGCAAAGGTCGAAATGCCCCGCAGGTACAACTCACCTAATTAATATGTTTTATCCTTGTCTTCTTTGAATGACGATCTGTTTGCGAAGTAATTGTTCAGAAATTTTGATACAGAGGAAACAATAACTAGTGCACTGTCCTTGTACGATGGTGAAGAAAATGACCGTGTTAAATACTGTTTCACAAAATTATTACAAAATACACATGTGTACAATAGGACATCGCATAATACGGAAGTAAAATGGTCTGTGACATAGCAAATCACGTTACAGGAGACTTGTAACCAGTACAAATGCGAAGTGAGAAGAATGTATTGTAGGAAGAAAGAAAGATTATACCTGGAAGATAAATCGGACGTCTTACTCGACCTTCCTGAGGCCATACTGCTTACTTATGGTACCACACACTCCTTAAATTAAGCAGTACTTTCTTCCTACCATACAAGTTGTTGATTTTCTCCATAATTTTCTAGTCGAATAAGAAACAGATCATCATCCTATTATGACGAGAATGAAACATAAAGATAAGACTTTAAGTCTACTCCTAACTCGAAACTGGTCTTTCTTTCTCCCCCACATCTTCATATTAATATGTCTATAACTTGTCCATTATCTTAGACCTCCACAGATTTTTTAAATAGTTTTCTGACCAAACACCAACATTTAATCAGGTTTAGTAGTGACCGCGAGTCGCGTTAGATCAGATACGTTAGTCAGCGTCCGTAAAGTCTGCCGGTAAGCTAGAATTACTCGGGACTGTCCACATTCTACTTACTCACGGTACCATATAGGTTCAATCCCGGGTCTGATCTTTGACATTACCCGATCCGTGGCATTCCGACCTTTAAGCCGCATTTATTACGTCTCCATCGCGTATCGATTGAATAACTATATTTCATGATTTCCTGGGATACACGGACGCGCGTAAAAATCTTTCTTTTCCAACGTGTACTGAAACTGGCCATTTTCGATCGTTATCCTTTCCCCGTCGTTTACCTTCCTACTTACGAACGACGGCCGTGGATCGTACGATCGTTATCGGGCACGTATCTACACGTGTTCTCTCGTCGTTCTGCCTCTACCACGAAACCGTTTCTCACCGCCAAACCTTCGATCCCCTTTCCACCGCCTCCTCCCTCGCAAGAGCGAGGTCGTTCGCGCGTTCGCCATCGATCTATCGCGCGCGCGCGCGAGAGAGAAGGTCGAGCGACTAGCGGATCGATGAAAATCGCGGGTGCGTGTAACGAGATTAACGGGGAGGAACGGCCACGAGGAAAGAAGAGAAAACGGGAACACGTTGACCCAGTCCTGACGACCGACGTGGGACTGCGATTCAGAAGCGCGCGCTGACCAAGAAGAGGGCCAACACCGGAAATGAATTTCCTTCCTACGACGCGTCTAATGTCCCCTGATACGCAAACTGTTTCAGCTTGTAATTTAAACTAGCGATGGGATCGAGTCTGATCTAATCTCCCGACCAATCAGATAAAAATCCTATTAATGCTTCTTTCTATTTTTTACAACTCAAATAACAAACGAACGATCTACCACGCGGTTTGCACTATCAAATTGAAGGATAAGCTATTCGAGTCATCGTTTCAAATAAAAATATTTAATAGTTACCGTCCCTTCGTGCACGCCACATCGTTTTCAATACCCAGAGGCGTGTAATGATTAAAACACCGTATAACGATATATTCGCAACGTTTATTGGATCGAACAGTTATTCGGATAAGCTTTTATTCGATCAGCGTGAAATATAATTTCGTTTTACAATTCAGTGTGTAATTTCCATCGAACAAATAGTAAATCAAATGTTTTATTTGTTATTCGTTATTTGAAACTGTTATCTAAATAAGAATTTTCTTCATTTCTATTGGGAGTATGCAACAGCATTTTAAAAATGTGTAGAATATTTACAGCATCTGGATGGCGTTGACACGAAGGGATTGAAAGCTCTAACTGTGAAAATCTTGATACATAATTAGTGTATCGAAAACTCTGATTCAGAAGTAATATACACCAATGATTCACGAACAATGAGCATAATTTCGCGACAACAAGAACAGTGATAACTCGGAAATCCAGGTTGGATAAGACAGCTACTTATACACTAATCTCACTCTTAAAGTTGTGTCCACATTTTATAAACCATCCTATATGATATAAATTGAATCTATTGCATAAGATGAGATTCCACGGTAAGTTAATGATAACGTATTACATAATTTACCACGGACAAATCTACATATATACGGAGTGTTCGGCCAACCGTGGAAAAAATTCTTAACAATAATTTTGTTAATAACTTTTTAACGTAGCCTCAATGAACAAATTCTTGATTTTCGTCTTACTGTAGCTGCTAGAATCTCCCATTAAAATTACTGAACACTCGAAGGAAAAATTTTGTTCTAATTTTCAATAGTATCAAGATTTTTACAATCAAACCCTGTGAGATATTAGACCAAATCGTACATCTTAGAAGTAATATCGAAAGCTGTGTATTCGATTAAGCGTACAACAAATTATTAAGTAGGATCAAAACAGCCATAAGTGTTAAAATTACAATAAAGTTATAAACATTCTACGACACGAGTTATTTGAAATTGCCTTGCTCTTCTACGGAACGTTTTCTTTAATTTTATTTTCTTTATCTGCTTATAATTTGAACCATGAGTTTGCGAAGTACGTATGAAAGTCAGAAATATCCTACCACATTGCGGTAGTACTTGTGATATAACTAGATCCCATCGTTAATGACAACCCTACAACCGTGCGTAACTAAATGCCACAGGTAATTTTCCTTTCAAGCCATTATTGCAATTATCGCTGCGAACCTATGTTTAGCAAACTGTTCAAAGAAAATGTTACCTCGCGACTGAAAGTTTTCGTCGAGCTCGCGATTTCTCTCGTATTTCTCGAACCGACGGTTTTCCTAAGATCGAAAAAGAGAAGCCTTTTCTTGGTCAGCGAAACACGTTGTTCCCCTTCGATCGATCGCGATTCAATTTCGAAATTTCGTTCGATCCGATCGCACGCCTTAGAAAACACTCCGTTACAGCTAATAAACTGTGATGGCAATCTGCTTCGACAAGAATCCGATTTGTATTTCTCGAGTTATCGCGAAAAAGCAATATTCGAATCCGCCCGTCGACCCGGTTCCAATAAAGTTATTTACAAGTGTTAGCGATCTCGCTCACAAACGTAAACGATAAAGAAAACGACAACATGTTATTACGAGCAAAAGGACACTCTGTACATCGGGATTAAGTGCAACACACATTTACTTTTACGTAATGCTTTCCGTTAAAGGTCGTACAAAAAACTCAAAACCAGTGCGATCAACAAAGGTAATGCATGACGAGTGACGTGTACAAAAAAAAAAAAAGTATTTGTTACATGTTCTGTGCGTAGGCAAAGCGAGCTCTCCAGTGATTAATTCGAACTTGCTACGGTTGTGTTAAGTAATTAATGACAAATAAAATAGAAACACTTCATCCAAGGAGGACCAAAGTAAAGAGACAATGTCATCGATCGTTGATAACAGCGTCGTTGCGATCCAAGGTTTTCCCGAATATGTACAAGTACGCGGCGTGTCTTGCAGCATGGAGCAAGGAACTGGATTAGCCTAACGCGTAACGGAGTACTCTCTAAGCGTTATACTATAGCGCGTGAAGGGCCGTATGAACGAACTGGTTAATATAACCGTCGACTCTCCAGATCCGAGTACACAGAACACCTCCGAGTGTAAGGCTCATTCGTTTCCATTTAGCCATTTTTCTCTGCCAACGGCGAAGCATCGAGGGAATTTCTCGGAGAAATATTTGCCTGAAAACACCCTCGAACGAACAAGTAGCTCTTACTCGCTGGGCGCGCGTCGACGGCAAAGGGAATTATTATTCATCGATTGGGTCTACCGTCGACACGAGTGGTGATGGAACCAAGTATATCGCGAGCAGTATCGAAACCTGATGAAATATGTTCGTGGACTGTAGCCTGTGACACAAAAAAGTGGCCCAAAGTCGACGACAAAGATCTTTCCCGGTGCTTTTAAGTTTGAAACAAAGCTAGTAAATGAATTGCACGAACGCGATTAATATCGGTCAATCAAAGGGGCGAGATGTAAGATATTTAAAAAAGTCTAGCT